CCATGTCTGGTGAGAAGTGCCAACGCCGTTGTACGTGTACGGGGGCCCTTCTCCAGTGCGGTGTTTCAAACTGCCCCTACGTAGAGTACAACGCAGCCTGCATCGCCACGTCGCGCAACGGCTTCGTTGTGATTGGCGCCACAACAGAACTTGTTGGCATTCGGTGAGAGCCACTCAAGACCGCACAAGTCCGACGTTTGTCACAAGAACGATACGCACGAGTCGTAAGAACCAGGCCAAGCAAAGTTGTTATCGATAGTGATAGTGATAGTGAGAGAGACCCAGTCCAGTCTTGGTGTTTAGCGTGAACAGAACATGACTAAGCCCGTCTGCTCCTAGCGCTGGCTGCAAGGAAGCGAAAATGCAGGACCCAGAAAAAAGTTCAAAGTCAATGCAGCTAGACCAACCATCAAGCACACCACAATGTCCAGGGATATCAACATGACCTCTTCCGACGAGGCCCTCGCCGTTTTCAAGAAGGAGCGCCGGGAGAGAAAAGACAAAAAGGAGAAGAAGCGCTCCAAGTCCGAGTCCAAGAATGAAGCCGCAGAAGCTAGCGCAAGTGAAGAGGAAGCGCCAGTAAAAATAGAGACGCCAGCGAAAAAGCGCAAACGAGATATCCTGCCCGAAGAGCTCGAAATCGATATCAATCTCCCGGAGCCGGTCTCCAAGAAAGCCGCCCGTAAAGCGAAGAAAGCGAAGCTGAACCCTACACCCGCTGCCGAGGGAGAAGAAGGAGACGCAGGCACAAAGACAGATGGCGAAGCAAAGGGAGCCAAGGATGCAGACGGCAAGCGATCAGATTACGGTGTATGGATCGGTAACCTGCCATGGTCTGCGACCAAGGACTCATTGCGAACATTCCTGTCCGAGAATTCAGAAATCGCAAGCGACCAGATAACCCGCGTCCACATGCCCCCACCCACAAAGGTCAACCCAAGCTGGACAACCAAGCCACTGAACAAGGGCTTCGCATATGTCGATTTCTCCACAGAACTGGCAATGTACTCCGCCATTGCCCTGACCGAAACCAAAATGGACGGCCGCGCCCTCCTCATCAAGAACGCAAAGAGCTTCGAGGGCCGACCCGACAAGCCCAAAACAGAAGAAGGCCAGGACACTCGTCGCGCAGGCAACGCCGATAAATCGGGCCATCCACCCAACAAGCGCGTCTTCATCGGCAACCTCTCCTTCGACGTAACCAAAGAAGACCTGCAAGAACACTACGCGCAATGCGGCGACATCGAAGACATCCACATGGCCACTTTCGAAGACTCGGGCAAATGCAAGGGCTACGCCTGGATTACTTTCGCCGACGTCGAATCCGCTACATGGGCCGTTAAAGGCTTCGTCTTCAAAGACGCAGCGGAGTTCAAAAAGAAGGGTAAAAAAGACGACAGCGATGACGAAGACGAAGACGCCAAACCTGAGAAGAAGAGGAAATGGTTCATCAGCAAGTTCATGGGGCGCGAGTTACGCTGCGAGTTTGCAGAGGATGCGACAACGAGGTATAACAAGCGCTGGGGCAAGGATAGGCCCGTCAAGGCTGTTGATGGCGTCAACCCGGATCGCTGGAGGAACTTTGATCAAGGCGGTGGCGGTGAGCGTAAAGCAGGTCGTGGGAATAACGAGCGAGGCGGTGGTGGTGGTGGTGGTGGTTCGAAGCGCAAGGTTGATCCCAGGACGATCAAGAGTGGTGCGGCGCATTCGAGTGCGCCGAGGGCGAGCCAGGCGATTGTTGAGTCGACGGGTAAGAAGACGACGTTTGATTGATCTTGGCATGAGGATAGGTGTTGGTTCGAAACACGGACGGCTATTTTAGACAATTGGAGAGGGAGGGGAGGCGGGAAAAAAAATAATGAAGCATTTGGCATGACTGGGCATCATCTTTTACTTACTACTATTTCTTTCCCATCGCACCAGCATCCGATAACGAGTCTTGAAAGACAAGGAAAATAGTCTGAGAGCATATTGAAACGTCATAATAGATAAAGTTTTTCCAAAAGGTATTTCTACACAAAGAATAGTCCAAGTCAACTCGCACCTTATCCCACCTAACCCGGCACTCTCTCTCTCTCTTCCAACACTACCCAGTGGCATGAGACGCCATAAACTGCGCAAACGCCGTCGCATTCCTCGTCTGCATGAACACCGTGCCCGGTCCTGTAAACTTGCACACCAAACCCTCGCCCGACGCCATGTTACTCACGATACCGCCGCTGGCCACGCGCTCAAGCACGTACTTGCAGTTCCACGCGACGAGGTGACCGTTGTCGATGATGTATTTTTCGTTGGCGGCAAGCTAGTCACACATGTCAGTAAAACCCTCCCCCAAGAAAAAAAATGAAAGCTTTAGAGAAAGATATGCGAGGGGAGGGGGGATGAAAGACTCACATCTTTCCTAATAATCGCACCAAAACTCGTACACCACAGAATTCCCGTCCCACTAATCTTGTACACGAAGAATCCCTCCCCACTAAACATGCCTTTTCCTATACCCTGGCTCTTGTACTCCATCACTATGCCCTGTGTGCACGCGAGAAAAGCGTCACGTCCCACACTCCACGTATCGTTTCCGCCGAGCTTGATAATGGTGATGTCGCCGATAGCAGGCGGTGCCAGGAGCAATTCTCCAGGACCAGTATAAGTGGATTTTGTCATTTCACCGCCGATGAGAGCTTTCTTGAGGGAAAACTTGACGTTGCCTTTTAGTGTCATGGTGGGTGACATTGCGATCATGGCGCCTGTTATTCAAGTTCAATTAGCAAAAATTGTCCCTTTGCATTTTTCAAATCCTCTGTTCCACCCCCTCTACGATAATGAGAGCAAAGTATAGGTATGATCGATGTAAACTCACCAGGTTTCGCAGTAAATGGACATCCCATTGCCAATTGTATGGTAAGAATCGTATTGGTATCCCTGTGGCTCACGCGGAAACTTCCTCCATTGAATGTGCCAACGTCATCAGCGGCTACGGTTGCAGGTGCTGCATTTGCGCCTGCGCCTACAAACTGCGGTTGCTGTGGTATACTCTGCTGGCTCATCTGCGGTTGTCCCATGCCTGGATGTCCTTGCTTCTCAGGTGGGTATGGGCTTGCGCTTGGGCTTCCAGCGGGGAACCCACCGAAGCCTGGGCTCATGGGCTGCTGTTGGTATTGTTGTGGTTGCGCCTGCGGTGGGGGCGATTGCGCCTGGCCTGGCGGTGGATAATGCTGCTGTTCGGGCGGCGGCGCATATTGTTGTTTCTCAGGCGGCGGTGCGTAGTGATGCTGTGTAGTGACGCCTACGGCTGGAGGGGGTGGATAGTGTTGTTGCTGGTGCGCGGGGGGAGAAGAGGGCGGTGGTGGGTAGGATTGGCCGCCGGGAGGGGGCGCGAAGTACTGTTGTTGGTGTTGCTGATCTGAAATACGTCAGAAGGGTATCTACAGGACAAGGTTTACTCGAAGACGAGCTTGAATGGGAGGAAAATACCGGGAGGAGCTGGCCAATGTCAGTTGCTACCTCATAGCGTTTACAGCATGCAACTCACGAGGGTAATAGTTCCCACCCGGTGGCGGAGTCGGCTGGTGTCCTGACATTGCTGATTTGGGGGCTACCTTAGCAGTGAGTAGCTCAAAAGGCAATGCTAGAAGGGTATTACAAGCTCAAGGCAGAATTGGGAGAGAGGAAGGAGGGAAAGAGCAAGGAGATTCAGATTAGTCTACGGAGATATCAGGCGCCACAAGCAGTATAGACAGGCGTTTTAACCGCGCGCCCCATTCCTGTCTTTCTGGTCAAGCTGCTCAGCCTCGGGCGCGCAGCCTGTTGGTTAGTGGGGTTGACTTGTAACCGCCGAATCAGCGCCCCGCATTCGCCTTGGGCTCTCTGGGTAGCACGCGCCCAGTGGGTGCGACGGGTGAGCAGCACAAGTATACATAGTAGTTCATGCACAAGTTGCCATTTTTGCTGCCCACAACGCTGCACAAACCTGGCACGTCTGCGTCTTTGCATGTGCGATCCACCAGGAACGGGACGGAGGCGCCTGCAGTTGTTTGGGTGGTTAGGTCGGGGGGTGCACAAGCATATTACAGGACGAACAAATCAACGCCCATGTTTCTGCCACTTCTCTCTGTGCCGCCGGACTTGAAATCAATGCCTTGTAGGCCCTCCCCCTGTCTTTGCATGCCCATGTCGTCGTGGGGGCCCATACGCTATGCAACAACATCACTAAGCCAAGCTATTTCGAGAGAATGGCTGACTGGGTACTGGCCCCAGCTTGGCCTATTGAACAACTGAAGAATGTCTACTACTATTCTCATAGATACACGCTAACCATAGGTAATTTCACTAACACTCAGGTCTAGCCAGAGTTGCCTTCCTTATAGAGCACAAGTAATACTATATGGTGCATATTCGGTCTCATCTTCGTTGGCTGCTTAGCAGATCTCAAAAGCCATCTCACGATGAAAAACATCAACCTCAAGGCATGACAATGAGCCTAGACTTTCCGGTAATGCATTGCGAACTTGGGCAATCTATGTAACTTGAGCTTGAATTGACAGAATGACAAGTGTCATTGACCTGACAGAGAGTGCATTCTCTGCTCTATCATGTGTGACAAAAGCATCGCTCAAACACCTATACCGACAAGGTAATACTGTCTTGTTAGAAGAAAGTGGCAGGACGAAAATAGGCACATGTAGTGTAAAAATCATATCCAGGCACTCCAAACGAGTGAAGTCAAGTCGAGGATATATCATTCTCTGCATCACCCAGGAAACACCCTCACACTGGTACTGGATACCTCTCCACTTATCATTCATCATTCCGAATCCATTTTGATTCCACATGTACGCAAAACTATCCATGGAATGAATGTTACACAGCATCCTCATATCGCTGAAAGACCCTCATTAAAGCAGCCGTCCAAAAGCGCGCCCGCTTACCGAAAAGCCCAGCCAGCCGAGCCATGCAATAACATTGAACATTGTAAACCCCACAGCATAACAAGAATGAACAATCTAGGCCACCATTCTCCGCCTCTTTCCAATCTGTGCAGAGAAACCAGTCTTGATAGCTTGGACTGAACGCCTTGATCCACAGCTGTTGCAAGTAACGAAGTTGAGACGGTTCTCACCCTTGGACAGGTCCGTATCGGGCGAGCGGCAAGTCTTGCAGGTAACGTATTCGACAATGTACCGCCTGAGCACGTTCTCCAACTGCTTTTGTTGGAAACGACCCTTGATGACCAGACGCTTCTGATCGGCAAATGAACCGCTCGTACCCAATTCGGCAAACAGGAACTGCGCAACATGCTCGTCCGAACGCTTCATGCGCTTGCAAATCTCGGCAAGGTTGGCGAAAACAGTCTTCTTGTTTCCTTCACGCATGCACTGTGGGGGCGGGATCTTATAGCTCTTTGTACCTGAGCTGGCGAGATCGGGGTGTTGGGCGTGGAGGAGTGTGAAGAAGCGGTTGAGGAGGAGGTTGTAGCTGATAGGAGTCGTCTGGTCGTGTTGCCAGATGCCAGTGCCCTTCATCATGTCGCCTTCTTGCACTTCTGGTTCAGCGGCGGCAGCCTCCTCTTCGCCCTCGGCCTTCTCTCCACCAGCAGCGGCGAGCTTAGCTTCGAAATCATCCTCGACCTTCTTCTTGCTAGACTTCTTCTTTTTCTTCAGCGCAGCGAAATCACCCTCTGCACCGTCATCCTCCTCGCCCTCCTTCTTCTTGGTTGACTTCTTCTTCTTCTGTACCTGTATCAGCAACCCGCCACACATCAAGACATGCGTGTATGCATACCTTCTTGGCGAGGTCAGCGAACATGTCGGTGACCTCTTCGACCTCCTTGTCATCGCCCGCTGCCCTACCCGTTAGTTTATGTCTTTTGTTGCCTACACACAAGCAATCTCACCGCCACCAGAGGAGTGACCCTCGGCAGAGTCCTTGCCGCCGTTCGCCTCCAGAGACTCGGTGACTTCGCCGTTGCTGTCGACGATCGTGGTGCCTTCAGAAAATTGAACAGACTTACGTGTCTTGCGTTCGGGGACCTCAGCCTGTGTTGGGAGTCATGTTAGCATAAGCTTTTTGAAGAAGATCGCATTAAGCTGCTATTCGTGTGCGGGAAGTGTAGCATCGCCTGCCGTAACAGAGAAAAGAAAAAACAAAGCCGGATGCAAGCCTATACAAAGCGATCGCAGTAATGGTTTCGTTGAACCATTACTGCAGATCGCTCTAATACGCATAGGACTGCAAGGACGCCTGCAGTCTTGCATCCGGCTCTTCTCCCAATGCCCACTTCCCCATTTCGAACAGCCCAGCGTGGGGTCAAATGACGTACAGTATCAGCCATGATTGCGGTTGTATAGAGAGTTTTCCGTCGGTGTTGCAATAGTAATTCTTGTGGGAAGAATTCGATATGATCGCTTTTTGCGGGTGATTGTTGGTGGTGGCGTTGAGCAGACGTGGGCAACAACGGCCTTGAACTTCGCCGCAACGCACATGTGTGAGTCGAACTGCGAGCCAAGATTTACGTCACGTGATGGAGACTGCCCACGCCCCACCTCCGCTCATTGGTTGCGGCGTCACATCACCAAACGCGCCGACGTAGCCCGACAGGTACTCGTCGCATTGCACGATTGCGCTTCCACAATTATTCCATGTTCTGGCGGTAATAAGCATTTCCGAGTCACGCATCCATCGCTTTGCTTTGCTGGTCATCCCCTACCGAACCTGCCATGTCGATGAGCAATAGCGAGAGCTTCGTCGAGCACTCCTCGGTCGACGAGGTTGATTCCCTACCCTCTTCCTCTTCGAGTTCCTCTGTCGACGAGGAAGAATACATGTCAGATGCGGATCGGGAATGGAAAGAATCGCTGCAGCAACTAGAACTGCTGCTGACAATGGTCATGGTGCCGTATCTGGGGAAATACTTTGGCAGGAAAGCCGCATACTGGGGTACGTCATCTTCAGCATGAAGAAACAAAGAGTAGCTTGGCACGATGCTGACTGTGGAAATAGGATGGGCCAAGTTTATGGAATGGCAGTACCCCGTCGAAGTCACGATTTCAAGCCCGAAAACCTTCAAGCTTACAGGAGCCGTCGAGGCAGCAGCGACGCTGTGAGGACTGAGTATGGTTCCGGACAATTGACATATTCGCGCATCGGCGTTCGTGGCGTTCAATTCTATACGATATCCAATTACTCTATGGGGCGAATCATGTATATACTGGGCTCCACATCCGTATATTGGACACAATAGAAGGAAGGACAGGGGTAAGCCCGCGCCAGCTCTGATCTATTTCCTTATATCGACATCTGCCATAGCCATACGGACTATGGAGACACATGGGTTTTGCGTCTCGGTGAGATAGATATGAAGTGGAAGAGGGCTTCTCAGGGGCACCTCTGTAGATGGAGGACGTACTGCAAGCAAAGGCGTACGGAATCCTACTTGACCCATAGAAATAGAACGATCCCCTCATCAGCATATTCCAACATGTACCAAGCCATGAAAATCCTTTACATCAATCCCTCTCAATTTCCTTGTCTCTGTCAGGGTATCAATCACATATCGCTCTCCCCTCAATTCCCTCTACATTCAACCCCTTACCCACCCACCCCACTCTCACTTCCTCCCTTCAACCATAATAATATGATACCCCTCACTCGTCTTCACCTCCCCAATCTTGGGACTCGCCGTCGTACTCGGCTCAAGCTCATACGCCACCTTTTCAAAATCCTGCATCAAGCTACCTCGTACTTTCCAGCCTAGACTACCACCTATAGTATCGGCATAAGCGTCAGAAACCAATCTATATACCACGTAATCGAATTATGGTGGAAAAGGCCAGGGGGGAAGAGAAGGGAAAGGAAGGAAGGAAAAGAAAAGAAATGTATACCTTGCCTAGCCTTATCCTCACTCATTTCCCTCGCCACATCATCAAACTTGGCTCCATTCCGTATCTTTTCAAGCGCCTCTTCCTTCTTTGAATGTTTTTCGCAGAGAATATGGCGGACGTTGATGCTAGTTGCTGGTTTGAGTTTGCCACTATTGCCACTGCCTTTTGAAGCTTCCGACTTGGCGTCGTCTTTTCCCTTGCCTTTATTTTTGGGAGCCATGGTGTTGGGTGGGGTTGGAGATATGTAAGTATGTGTGTGTGTGTGTGTGCGTGAGGGGTGGTAGGGGTTGGGGAGGAAAGATGAGGAAATAGAGGATAGTGGTAGTAGTAGTACAAGTTACGAGACGGGATGTGTAAAGGCTTGTGTGGTTTGAACCTGGTCAAGTGTACTCGAATACAGCTCGTGGACAACCTTGTTTTTCTTTTTCAGCCGTATACAACGAACAAAGTTCACACCTCAGTAGTGAACCGATACAGAAAGGTAAGAGGGGAGATATGGCAAAGCTCCGAGCTCCGAATTGCGGGGCAGTTCGGAGGATTGGAATGTGGATCCCATTAAAAGTGGGGGGGGAGGTTCGTCAAAAGAAAGACAAGGATAATCCCTTGCAAATCACATTCTGGGTCAAACATGAAAATTTCCTAATTTCCCATCATGCATTGAATTTTGGACAAAGTTGCTCTTCTTGGCTTTCATGCTTATTTCACTTGAGAACCCGCCCCCCTCCCCCTCCTCTCCTCCAATCCATCCGTCCTTTTTTTCTTTGGGTCGCCAGCCATGAGAGCAAAATAACCCTAATGGGGGTGGGCGGTACCGGCCGGAATCGTTACTTTTATTTGGAAATTATCGTAACGCCGTGGCCTTTTCCAACGTAATGGTGATGATGATTGGCGTCCCATGCCAAGTACATAGCCCATGGATGTGAACAAGCAAGGTTGCAAAAAGCAATTCCGTGGCCGACTTCTACGTATTATATCCCCCTGGACTCGTTCCAGACCTCAATTAGACACTCCCTCAACCCTGCTATCGGCCCCCTTCGCTGGCGCGGCAATGCATGCTACTGTTTTACCTGTTCCGAGCTAATTGTGAGAAGTGAACCTGGATGCTTTCGTTACTTCAGCCGTTGCCGTTGACAATGGTGGTGCGAGCGGCATTGTTCACCCCATTTTGGGAGAGCACAATATCCATGAAGCTCTTGCGAGGCTTGTGCTTCTTCTCCAGCAGCTCGTCATTGATGTCGGCCAGGTGGATCCGTCGTCTCTTACACTCAGCACGCATGTCGTTCAGCAACGGGCGGAGAGTTTCCACCTTGTCCACTTCGGCATACAGTAGTGATTCCTCAACCCAATATAAACCTTCCATTGCTGCAAATTGGTTCCTGGCCTCCTTGATACTCTCTTGGATCTTCGCATAGTCAAAGTCTGGAGCACCTTCCATGGGAAATCGAAAATCTTGAGCTAGAAGTGCAACGTCGTATTGTCGCAGGATTGCATCTCGTTGTGCACGATTGACAGGAATTCGGGTCCAGTTTGAGTAAGGCGCATCGAGGTGGGCTAAATCGAGTTCGGGGAGTCCAAGGATGCCGACTACTTGGAACGAGCAGACGTAGGTCTTGCCGGGCAAAGCCTGTGAATCCTTGAGATCTTGAGCGTTTGCGTAGAAGAGTGGAAGGAAGACGGCTGAGACGCCGAGCTCTTCGCCTGAAAAGTGGAGTGGTCGATTGGTGCCCAGTTCGCAGGCGCGCCGTAGGGCTCGAGGGAGTTTTGAAATACGATTTTGGCGTTCCAACAGCTCTTTCTGACGCCTGGCCTCTTCTTCCACTTGCCGTTGCGTCTCCTCCTCTTTTTTGATACGAGCAGCCTCGGCCTGCTCTGCTTGACGCCGGGCTTCGGCTTCAGCCTCTGCCTTCTTCTTTGCTTCTTCTGCTTCTGCAACCTTGCGGGCAGCCTCTTCTGCTTCCTTGTTTTTGGCTTCGGCCTCGGCTTCGGCCGCTGCCTGGGCTGCTTTCCGTTTCGCTTCTGCCTGTGCTTGTTGCTCTTCCTGACGCCTTAGACGTTCCACCTCAGGTGTCGCTACCCTTTCAGGCGGAGCCGGTGTCGACTTGGCAGATACAGTAGGAGTCCTCTTCACACTAGCATCATCAGCTGATGCGTCCGACAGCCTCCGTTTTCTTATCTTTTCCTCCACGGTCTTGTATTTGATTTTGTTCTTGACAATCTTCCGTTCGTCGGGTGAATCGACTTCTGGGGTTGGTTTTGCGCTGATCGGTTTGGATGGCTTCACGGCTGCTTTGACTGGAGGTTTGGCGCCGTGATCTTCATCACTTTCGTCTGAACGTGCATGGACCGGCCGTTTGGATTCATTGTCGTCTGACCGTGCTTTCAGAGCTTTCCTGACCGGTTTTGCCTCTTCGCCTTCGCCTTCGCTGTAGGACCGCCGCTTGACTTTGCGTGTAGGCGGTCGTACATCTTCCTCGCTCTCCTCCTCAGACGAGTCGTCTTCTACAACACGTTTCCTCCTCTGGCCCTCTCGAGAGGCCTTTTCCTTTCCGGACATTAACCGTCGTGACTTTTGAGGCGCAGAAGATACTGTATTTGATTTTGTAAGGTTGGCGCGTTTCGGCTCCACTTGGGGCGAAGAGGAGCGTTCCCGTCGTGGAGATGGTTTCCTCTTGACGCGATTGGCCGCAGGGATCGGTGCTTCTTTTTTGGTTCTTCGGGGACTTCGATGAGTTTTTTGGTACCTCTCGCAAGCCTGTTTCAGCATGTCCCTCTCTTCCTCCCACCTCGGTCCATGTCGTTCTTCTGAGATTTCATAGTACGTCTTGTTGTCTTTGTTCCTCCGCGTAGGGTTGAAGTTGTCTTGTTCAAGAAGTAACTGTATAATCTTCAGGTATCCACGCCCAATGGCAACTGTCATGGGCGTCTCTGGGTGCTTGGATGGGTCGGGATCGGCCTTCAAGCCGCTAGCCAAGAGAATGCTAAGGATGTCGTAGTGTCCGCCTCTGGCTGCTGCAACGCCACAGGTGATGTTTGGCTTGATGTTGCTGTTTATGAGTTCTCCCACAGCTAGGATATCTCCGTCTCCAGCCTTTTCGATAAGGGTCTCGACATTGAATTCGTTGTACAAAAGGCGAGAAGCAGTTTTGGCTTGTTTTTGGGTTCGCTCCTGGTCGTTGGTAGAGGTATCCACTCTCTGTCTCATTGCTTCTCTTAGTTCTTTTTCAATCTCAGGCGCGTCCTCGTCTTCGGGATCAAGAACATCAATGGCGCGTTGTCCTTTTTTGTTCGAGTGGTGGGGATTGACCTGGCCCTGGTTGAGCAAAAGCTTGACTACGTCTAGATGCGAATTCTCGACTGCATCGATGAGCGGCGTGTCACGGTCATGGCTCTCACAGTCGGTACGACAGCCTTTGCTTATCAGATAACGGACAACGGGTGCCCAACCATGCAGCGAGGCTTTTTGCAATGGAGTAATTCCAGCATAATCGGGCTGGTCGAGCTCGTCGGGCGCCTCCTCGTAAGCTTCTTTGACCGCGTCCAAGTCGCCCTTTTCACTTTCTCGAGCAAGCCGAGTGGCACCAAACCGATCGATTTTTCGATGGGGCATGGTACGCGCAGGGGAGGTCAAAGCGCGATGTGTGGAGCGCTTTACTCGGACATGCTGTTGCAGATGGGGTGCAGACAATGGCTGGGGCGAGGTTGAATGATCTGAGCTGGATCCTGACCAATGCTCCTCGTTGGACAGAGCAAGGTTGGTGACTTCGCGACGCTTACGACCGGCAATGCCTGTGGCGGTGGATTGGGTGGATTGGGAGCGTTTGTGTGGGCGGCCAAAGCCTGGCGTGTCGGTCTTGGCTTTCTGGCGCGGAGGTTCAAACGGAAACGAGTCATCGCGCAGCTTGCGCTTGCGGTTGTCAACAGTCGAGGCACTGCGGCCACGCGATTTGGCGACATCATTGGGGCTGGTGTCCTTTGTGCGCGTGTTTGGAGACGACGGGGCCGGGCTCTTTGCGCCGTTGATTTTGACGTGGTTGGTGGTGCGTTGGCGGCCGTTTGGCTGGGGCGAGTGCAGGCGCGGCTCCTCTTTGATGGATCGCAGACGTGTCGCGTCGCTGTTACTGTGGTCGTCATCGTCGTCATCATCATCGACGCGTTCGGTTTTGATCAGCTTGGAGTCAGCAGCAGGGTTCTCGTCGCGCGACAGGACGACCGTCTCGGCCTCGGACTCGGGCTCTGCATCCTGATCGTCATGGGCGTCGTGGTTGGCAGGCGGCAGCGAGGCGTGGTCTGGCTTCCAGGATGGATGAAGAGCAGCAGCAGAGGGCTTGTGGGGCTGACGTGGAGAGGAGCTGCGAGGACGGTCGTGGAGGATGCCAACGGGGGCAGAGGGCGTGTTTACGAGAGTATCGGCATTACTGGTCATCACGATAAAGGACAGGACACTTGCAGTTCCTGCCTCATACTGGCTCGGCAGAGCAAGGGAAGGGAGGGAGGGAGCGCAGACGGCAGGAACACGGCGCTCAACTGCCCAGCGAAGAGGGAGGGTGGGACAATGGGCGTGCAGGCGGCAGCGACACCAGGGAGAGGCAGCGGGCGCTGAGGGCGTGATGGGGGGAGGGGGGGTGTCGCGCAGGGTGGAGTGGAGAGAGGAACAGCAGTGGAGGTTGAGCGAGAGACTGGAGAAGAGACAGTCGAGGCTTGCGAGTAGCCAGGCGGCGCTGCACCACTCACCGGCGAGCGCCATTTGCTTGGATCCTAGGCGGGCCCCGTCTCTCCTGAACACAACCCTGCACTCTCGCCTGCGCTGGGGGTGCGGCTACTGCTGGAGCGGATGCTGCTGGCTGAGCTGCTGCGCGTGGAGCTGGAACTGCTGCTGCAGCCATGGCGGCGGACGGTGAATGCGAGCGCCTATGTATGTGTGCATGCCGTCGACCATGGGGCAGCCTTTTTGTTTTGTTTTGCGGCAGCATGGTGGGCTGAGGGCAGAGGGCAGAGGGCAGAGGGATGCAGAGGGCGCACGCAGCACGCAGCACGCAGCACGCGCGGCGACATGGCCACGCAGGCGGGCGGCGGGTGGTGAGCGCGCAAAGGCTATCGTTACCTGCGACACCTAGCGCACGGTGCGGGTTACAGCTTTGGCTCGCTCGTGGGCGACGGCCGTGGCCAGATGAGGGCGACGACGTGGGTGCCAGAGGGGACTGGACGTTGGCTGTACAGTACAGACACAGACATACGTAGCCATGCCATGCCATGCGCTGTCTATGCCAGTCCCATGGGCGGCCATGAGTGGCAGCGATGCTGTGTCGACGCCAGCGGCGGCCTACCTACCCATAATAATATTACTGCTACAGCTAACACCCGCTAACTAAGTAACAATACAACCCCGATCGCCGCCCTCGCCGCCCTCGCCGCCTGGCCACAGTCATGGTCACAACAATCGCACAATCACAATGGGCGCTTGCACTGAACACCCACGCCCCCCAGTTAGACCCGCTGCCCGCGCCGTCAAGCCACTTGCGGCTGCAACCACTGCCACCGTTGGCCCGCGGGTGCGCCAAGCACAGCCCGCCCGCCATCCCATCATGCTGCCGTCACCGTCCCCTTTCCCCTCCCCTCCCCTCCCCTCCCTTCCCTTCCCCTCCCCCCCAACAGACACGCTCCCCTCACGCCCTCACGCCCTCACGCCTCCAGCTGCCATGGCTCTGCTTCAGTCCTCCCTGATGCCTGTCCTCCTGCGTGCCTTCTACCTTGCTGCCTCAGTTCTTGTATCACGACACCACTTCAGCTCCGCCCGCGCCCACCACTAACCGCTGCTGCTTACTAGATCCTCGTCATACAGGCCGTTCCTGCACTACGCACCCGATTTCTAGCCTATGGTCCCCGTGCCACTACACCGCCCACCCAGGAGACCCAGGAGCACCAGAAGCACCACCAGCAGCCCTCGGCACTCAGTCGCGCTCTCGACTATGCTGCCTCGCTGCAAGTGCCCCATCACTTCTTCACCCACTTCTACGTCACCTCGGTAGCCTGCTCGCTCCTGTGGGCATGGCAGATGGACGTGTGGCATGCGCATAGGCAGCAACAAGTGGTTTGGGCGCTCCTGCTGCTTCAGGGTCTGCGGCGCGTGCTCGAGTCACATGTCTACACTTCAGCCAGCAAGAGCACAATGTCCGTTGCCCACTGGCTTCTCGGCCTTCTCTTCTACATCACCATCAACGCCGCCATCTGGGTCGAGACGCCTGGCAGCGCATCAGCCAATGCATTCCTTGTGCCAGGAGTCATCACAGCCCAAATGCTGCAGCACTCCTACCACGCCTACCTCTACCGCCTGCGCACGGAGAATAAAGGCTACCAGCTCCCGTCTCACCCCATGTTTCCCAATCTGCTCTGTCCGCATTACACTTGCGAGGTAGTCATCTACGCATTGCTATCGCTCATAACAGCCCCAGACGGCAGCTTGGTCAATTGGACTGTGGCCTGTGGAACCATATTCGTCGCTACCAATCTCGGTGTGACGGCAGTAGGTACCAAGGAATGGTACATGGCAAAATTTGGTGCCGATAAGGTAGGTTCGCGGAAAAGAATGGTGCCTGCCATGTGGTAATGCCCTTTGCTGTGGGTTAAGCGGAAGCTGAGGCGCCTATTCAAGTGTAGGTGACACGCTTTTGTAGCTTCCTAATACTGCACTTGCAAACTTGATACAACTCCCACTGAGAGGTTAATCCAACACATTTTTTCTGGTGACTAATACGCTCGTGAATGTGTGACATGTAAAATGAGACGTGCTTACGGCAGAGAGCATTGCCAGACAGCTGCATCACATGACGTCGTGTTTACGCTAGCCCACACTCGGCTGCGCCACGCGTGTGTTTGCCTAATCCAACAGGCTGCACCGTCTCGCATGGCTCGAGCAAACACGTCTGGGACGCCGCTTCTTCCTCGTCCAGTTTGCTATAAAACTGCCGGCATAGAAGCTGTCATTTGTAGCGCTTGTGCGCCAGTTCCAAGCATCTAGTCTTGTCACAGTGTGCTTCAAAAGCACATTGCACTATTACCATACGCATACGCGAGGCGCGTGCAAGGAACAATCGACACCAAGCCATGGCAGCCAAAGAAGCAACCGTCTACATTCTGGACCTCGGTCGCTCCATGGGCAAAAAGAGAAATGGCCGCGACCAGACTGATCTTGACTGGGCCTTGGAATACATCTGGGACAAAATCACTACCACTGTAAGCCGACGTTCATTCGGCGATTTAGTGCGTTAGACACATACACGCCACTAGCATTGTCCCAAATATCATCACATGATCCAGAGAGCTGTGATTGACAACTTTCTAGGTTGCAACGGGCAGAAAAAGTGCGCTGATGAGCGTTGTTGGCTGTCGCACTGATGAGACAGATCTCGCTGGTATCATAGAGGAGGATGAAGGCTATGAACATATTCGAGTGTTCTCCAAAATAAAGCAGTAGGTCTTGTCCCACCACACAGGAATTTCTGCAATTCCTTACACATAACAGATATCTGCTTGGAGACATCCGCAATCTCCAGGAACATCTCAAGCCTAGCAGAACCAACAATGGAGATCGTAAGTCTTGCCTACTAGTCGGCATGCTTGGTTTTAACGCAGACAGTCCTCTCTGCTCTCGCTGTAGCAATACATATGATCGACACTGCAACCAGAGGTGCTAAAGGAAATCCCCTCAAATATGACCGCAGAATCGTCATTGTGACTGATGGTCGTGGGGAGATGACTACGGATGATTTGGAGCAACTAACATCAAAAATCAAAGACCCAGAGGCTCCCTTTGAGATCACACTACTTGGCGTTGATTTTGACGGCCCCGACGTTGGCTTCAAGGAAGAAAAGAAAGACCCTCAAAAGGTACTGCTGGTCGACGCCTCTCGTTCTGTCATGACTAACAAGACCTAGGCTCAAAACGAAGACATATTGAAAAGCTTTATACAAGATTGTGACGGTAACTTCGGCACTCTAGCCACAGCTATTGATCAACTTCACATACCTCGTCTCAAGGAGACACGGCCCGTTCACAGCTACAGAGGATCGCTGACTTTGGGCGACCCTACCAAGTACGATGCTACCATTACAATCGATGTCGAGCGATACCCATGTACGATGATAGCAAAGCCACCAACAGCAAGTTCGTTCGTTATACGGACAGACGCTACTGGCTTATCAGGCCCGGTTATTGAGTCCTCCGCTGCTGGAACTGATCAAGATCAAGCAGCAGCCGATCTCTCAGCAGTACGAAATCAGCGTGTGTATCAAGTGGAAAGCCAGACCGAACCCGGTGTCAAGAAGAACGTCGAAATGGACGAGTTGGAGCGGGGCTATGAATACGGCAGGACAGCCGTTCACATTTCCGAGTCCGACATGAACGTTGTCAAACTGGAAACACAACAGGCAATGGAGCTAGTGGGTTTTGTCAGAGCTGAGGATTTTGAACGATTTCTCCCTCTCAGTCGGACAAACTTCATTGTCCCACAAAAGGCCAACCAGCCTGCTCAATTGGGCTTGTCGTCTTTCATACACGCGCTCTACGAGGCTGATTGCTATGCAGTTGCAAGGCTAGTTGCAAAGGATCTAAAGCCCCCAGTCTTGCTACTGCTTGTCCCGCGCATCGAGCCAGAGTGGGAGGCTCTGGTAGACGTAGAGCTTCCTTTCGAAGAAGATATGAGGCGGTACAAGTTCCCACCATTAGACCGAAAACTCACAGTCAGCGGTAAAGTTATAACAGAGCACAAGGATCTACCCACCAAGAATCTCGTCGACGCAGTGAGCGACTACGTGGATGCCATGGATCTATCAACCTTTGGCCGGGACGAAGACGGAAACGAAGACGAGTACGCCAAACCAGAAGATACATTTTCGCCTCTTGTCCACCGTATCAACCAGGTTATACGATGGCGAGCAACACATCCCGACCCCAGCCTCCCGATCCCTGATCCACCAGAAATCCTCACCAAGTATTCTATGCCACCGGCAGAGCTTGTTGCATCGGCACAAAAGCAACTCAATGCCGTTAAGCAAGCGGCAGACTTGAAGAAAGTACCACCAAAGGTCAAGGGCCGAGGCAAGCGCCAGCGTACTGAGCGTGAAAAGCCTCTTTCAGGCTTGGATGTCGACCAACTCCTGGGCAACCCCAAGCGCGTCAAGATTGAGTCTAACAATCTGATTCCCTCGTTTAAACAGGCTCTCTCTGCTTCCGATGACTTGGATGCCATCCAAGACGCTGCCGACGGCATTGCAAAAGAAATCCGCTCGCTCATCAGTAACAGTGTTGGTGACAACGCATACCAACGTGCGCTCGAGGCAATTCGTGTCATGCGTGAAGAGCTCACTGAACTTGAGGAGCCAGAGATCTACAACGCATTCATCAAGCAGTTGAAGGGGGATATTCTAGGTGGAAAGCTAAACGGCAACCGTAGGGAGATGTGGTGGAGAATCAGAGGCAACCGATATGGACTCATCGATTCCAAGAGGAGCTATGTCAGTCCTGTGACAGAAGACGAGGCGAAGAGGTTCTATGAGGTCTGAAGCGGTCACGACATGTTCTTCTACTGAGCTTGAAGAATATGTGCAACAACGATGGAATGCACATGCACGGGGGTATTATGACAACTAAAAATACGTTTATTAATCTCGCTTTGAACCCTGCATCTTTTTCTCTTACCCGATACTGTTTCAAGGGACAACGGCTTTACGGTTGATTCGTGCGCTACTACCTAAAGGGCTGAGGATTTTGGCCCCCACGAAAAAAATGATTGCGAACTCAATGCAAGCGACACCACTTGCCGTTTTCCGACCTTTTTTTGGTGGAGCCTAAATGTGCGCACGTCCAATAGGGATATGTTGGATTCAGCCTCACACACGTGTAACCCTCGCCAGCTGACTCTAGCTGCGCCTCAGCTGTGCGACCTACCTGGCGCGTACTGACGTCTAGACCCTCTCCTCCTTCTCTCAATATCAATCCCAACGCCATTTTACGTGGAAATAGCGAAGCATTCTGTGTGCTTCGTGATGTAGAGCAACCGAAGACACTCAACATGGACATCCCGTACACGGAACACGGAAATTCGCCGCCAACCCCAGGCATAACCATCTCGAGACCAGGAGAGTATGCTTCGCTTCCCACCAGAACCAGTAATGAGTCCCTTTACGATATGAGCGACAGGCGCTCAAGATTCCAAGAAGATATCGATTCCGGCCTAGGCATCCACATGCACTCCCTAGGATCGCAAAACTCTCCGGATATTGCATATTCGCCTCTGAATGCAGATAAAAAGCAACCTAGCGTGTTCTCTCGGGCTTCAAGTACGGATCCCATGACACAAAGGCTCATTGCTCACCGCGCTACACAATCAGCACAATGGCGTATCCACTGGCGCCCACCAGCACTCATGGTTTTTGCTTTTCTTATGGGAATTGTTTTTGCATTCTTCCAACATCTTCTATACACTGCCCTGCATCACAAGGAGGAACCCGATGAAAACAAAAAGTTCCGCTTGGTTCTCTACGGCCGCATGCTAGCCTATCTCTCCAAGGTCGCATTCGGAGGGTGCGTTGTTCTGGTCTTCCGACAGCGACTATGGAGGACGTTTCGAGAGCGGGCATTGACGGTGCTCTCCATTGACCAGCTCTTTGGCGCAACAGAAGACCCTTCTCTTTTTGCAAATTGGGAGGCCATTACCAACGCTCCTATTCTTGTATTCGTTGCTGGGATCATCTGGCTAATACCCTTGGCAACAATCATCTTCTCACCTGGCGCCCTCACCTTCGGTACCTACCTTGATTTTGAGGCTGTCGACATTGTAGTTCCGACGCTTAATTTTTCGATGGAATCCACTAAGAACTGGCGTTACCCAATTAAGATGGCTGACGGAAGCAACAAGAAATCCGTAATGTATTACAATACCACTGATATCGCTGGCACAGCACCGGGCTGGTTCGATTACTATGACCAACCGTCTGCAGAGTTGGTACGGATTGGAGTTTTGCTGGCGTACAGCAACATGGATCATCCAAACATCCAGCAAGGCGCTCGACAACAGGCTTGTGGAGGGCAATACAACTGCACATACGAACAGACCTTTTATGGACCTGGTTATCAATGCGAGGAGATTAATGACGAGAACAAACTTCGCGAATTAGACGCACCGTTCAATCATAGCAGGATAGCTCCTCAGGGACGGGCGGCCTACTTTGCTGAGGTTGATATTGGGGACTACAAACGGCCACAAGCTGATGAGTTCCGCAAAGGGCCCGGTGGACTACCTCTTGGTGAAGCACCTGAAAGTTTGGGTGTTTTCAAATCAGAACCCATACTATGGATTGGTTACACTACGAATTCGACGGAAAGACTCTCTCCTGACGACCCTCTTGCAAAGCACTGGACCCATCGCTTTGACTCTCACATTATCCGATGTGTGCACATGGAGACCAAGTACACGGTGAAGTGGAATTATACAGAGCCATTCTTTAAGTCGATGGCGAAGCGAGAATATCTTACCCCAATTGTGGATACAAATTTCACTCATGGCCTTTATGGGCTAACAAACCACACGCGAGACCCTGAGCCAGCAACGAACTACATCAGCCCACGCGACGATGTGGGTCTCTACAAGAAAACCGCCGCCTACCATGCTCTAGGTTCCATGTTTCGAGGGTTTCTTCGCGGGCACGTCGATGTCGACCCCCCTCTACCAGGACCATACTACTCTCAAGTCTATTCCGACGTCACCAAGACACGACTAGTGCACAAGAATGCAGAGCCGAAGAAAAACCTAGGAACTGAGATTGAATCCTTCTACTCAGACATGGTCCTCTCTCTGTTCTCAGCGCCGGAAATGCTCGCCGTTAATGAAGAGAAGCTCACAGTCGAGCGAACGCGACTCCAGTCTTCTTTCGTCTACGTACCAGAACGACTATGGAAATGCTACATTCCCGTCATTTTCGTCACGCTATGTATACTTCTCTTTGGACTGTTTACTATCTGGGAAGACGGAACGACCTTTTCCGCTGGATTCTCGCGTATTCTCGTCACCACGCGAAACATGACTTTGGACAATATCAGTCGTGGCGCGTGTCTTGGAAATGATCCCTTTCCGATGGAGCTCATGAACACGAGGCTCCAGTTTGGCGCTCTTGCCGATGGCAGTGATCCTCCTGCATACTCAAGCGGGGAGTACCAAGGTGCAGGTGGAGTTCAGAGCATTGGTCATTGTGCATTCGGTGTTGCATCTGAGGTTGGGCCCATTTACAAAGGCATGCCTTATGCTGGTCTCAACCGCCCAGATAAGAAAAGGATTGCGTATTCCGACATGGAAAGTGGATAGGGAAAATGTGTAACTAGTACGTTATCTGTAATTTTGAATGTAATCAAACAAAAGTCTGATTCATTTCTCTTAGCCTCTCTCGTCACCTTTTTCCATCATCAACGACTCTCTACTCGGCCTAGCTTAACAAATACCGATAACGCCATTGACCGGGATATCAATACTCGTCGTGTAACTCGCCGCATCGCTGAGCAAATACACATAGGCGCCTCCGAGCTCCTCCACCGCCGCTAACCGCGGCATACCACCATAGTACTTGAGCTGCTGCTCCCAATCCGGCTGCTGCTCAACCCAGTACGTCATTGCCGTCTTGACCAGACCCGGCGACACAGAGTTGACTCTGATATTGTACTGCGCCCACTCCATAGCAAGCGTATGCGTCATATTCCTAATACCCGCCTTGGACGCACCGTACGGTGCCGAGGGAACACGCTGTGAAGACCATCAGTCCATGCCACCCCACTCCTACTACTAACTACTCCTACTACTGCTACCACCAGCCACCCAAGAAAGCGAAACACGGTGTGGGAGACAAGACATACCTTATTCGGCCGATACGACGCCATACTCGCCGTAAAAACAATACTCCCCTTGACCCCTTGCTTGATAAACGCCCTCGCCGCACACCGCGCCGAGTAAAAACTGCCATACAGATTCACGCCCCAAAGCTGATCTATCTCCTCTGTCGTAAACTCCAGCGCCGGCTTGTGCTTCGTGCGCCCCGCGTTGCACACCATGCCGTGCAGCGCGCCCGCCTCAGCCAGCACCTTGTCGATTGCGGCTTGGATGGACTCTTCTTTGGTGACGTCGGCTTCGAGCGCGAAGAGCTGGTTCGGATATTTGGAGGAGAGGGCGGCAAAGTCGGAGTCGGGGGTGCCGATGTCGAGGGAGTAGACGGCGCGAGCGCCGTTGGTGAGGCAGCAGTCTGCTATTCCGAGGCCGATACCTGGGGGAGGGTTAAGTTATTGTTGTTTCTTTTGTTGAAAAGTTTACGCTGTATAGACCTTATGATTTTTCTTTGCGTACCTCTGTTTGCACCGGTGATAGCGATTACCTTGCCTTCCAACTGCACCTTCTTAACGGGTTCCGACGTTGAACTCGAAGCCATGTTGATTGATATATCCAACTCTTCCTTAATTCTTCCTGAACAATTGCCAAAGGAAAACAAAAAAGATCAATAAAAGGAAAAAAGAATGTCTTCGTCTGTATGTATCTGAACACACAAAAAAGTACCTACTATTCCAATCCCATCCATCCTCCCCCTCCTACTTATACAATTTTTCCTTCTCCTCTTCCCATCTACCCCATCACCCATTCATCCATCCATCCACGCACATACACACGCATATCCATCCCCCCCCC